TGGTCCTTACAAAATGTAGCCAGTTAGTGGGGGGAAAAAAACAAAAACAAAGTCATGATGATAATGGTTGCTATGCAAGGATACTAGGTTTCTAGTGCTGACAGCTATCCCATTCACTTCCAAGGGATCCCTGCCCAATGATGGCCAAGGACACTCCTTAACTAGATACTTCTTTTACTGGGGTTCCAGTGAGTGGATCTGGTTCTTCTTCCACTTCGTGTCTCCACTATTCATCTTGACCCTGTATTGCCAGGTGTTTGTTAAGAGTCCTTCCTAACTCCTCCAGAAATGTGGGGAGGGAAGGGAGGAGTCTCCTCTAGTTTAATAACTGCTTTATGTTCATAAGTTGACAAGTTCCCTGTGACTTGCAATGTTTTGAGGCTGGTAGGTGAGAGGTCATCAAATGGAAGAGATTTACTATCAGAGCTTTGCCAGCAGGCTTTTATATGTATTTGTTTAATTACTCTACAAGACCATTCCATACATGCTGGGGGATAACATGGGATCCTAATCATTCCATCAAATATTAAGATGGGTTGGCCCAAATCGGATTTAAATCCTCCCATTGCAAACAAATTTGCATTCAGGCAAGACAATGATTCAAAAGCCACTGCAAAGAAACAGGCTGGTAGTCACTGAGTTTAGACCTCTTTCCCCTTTGATATCCATTAGCCTTTCTCAAGTAGTCAGTCCAAGAGAAAGGCACTGGGAGGTTTGCATGCAGAGGCATTTTATAAACAAGGGCTTCCCCACTGCCAGTTTCAGGGAGGGGGCCAGCCCCACCCATAGTTTTCTAAATTGGATCCTTAGCCAAAAGCTACTCCCCACCACCACGAGGGAGAGGTCAATACCTCTGATACAGTTGGAGCAATAACCACTTTTTAATGTACAATAAAAGATTCAAGGCACATCTTTCCTTGTAAATACCTGAGTTTAGGGATGATTCCTCTTGGCCTACACGGGGGCAAAATGCATGAAATAGAAGGTGGGGACCTTCTACCCAGATCTGAGGGATCATGAGTTTAGCGGTTTTCTCCCTCTCCCTGGTTGCAGGCAGCAGTAAAGGTTCAATGGGGGGTTAACTTTGATTAGGCTGTGGGCTAAGGTGAGCAAGAAGCTACAACGTAAGTGGAGCCACAGCCCTACTTAGTCAGTAGATGTCTACGGGAATGTCTCAGGCTTAGTACGCATCTTATGAGAAAGAAACGTCATTCAGAATCCTTCGCCTACCTATAAAGGAAGACTTAGAACAGATGGTATGGCATGTACAAAATGATAAGAGATGTTCTGTCATAATCTTAGTGCAGACAAGCAAATAAGGCCCTAAACTCTAACCTAGCTGCTGCTGCGGAAATTCAGCCTGGGTAATTTATCAGGGTGATGTTTTTTTATACAAAAAATGTTTCTGGGAATGCAGAGAACATTCCCCATTTTTGAAAGTAATTGTTATTGTTTCCTAGTGACAGGTTTTTAAGCTATTTCTATTCCAACAGTGATGCACTTGTTGTTCTTTAAGAGATGGAGAAATTAAAATGTGAGGCATAGATGCTTGTTCACAGTTAAGTATTCAAGCCATGATATGGCAGCTGGCAAAAGGAGTGTATCATTATGCTCCATAACTGCAGGCTTTAAAGGTAAGGTAATAATGCTATTAGCGAGAAAAACAAATGTAGGCTAGGAAGCAAATCCACTCGTACCAGAAAGGAATTCCAAGCTATCCAATGCAGCTGACTCTCTTAATGCAGTTCCTGAAAACATCTATCAACCGAAAGGATTTAATAAGAATATACTTTATCTAAAGAGGTGCTACATAAGGAAGGGGGAGGAGAGAGAGAGAGAGAGACAGACATATAGGCCCTTTTGAAAATTTTACCCATTTTCAAAAGCAACTTAGGGGCTTAGAAGCCCAAGTCTCATTCAATGTAATTTAGGCTCCTAAGCACTTGTCACTGTTGAAAATGGAATGTAGGCATCTAAGTCACTCAGGCACTATTGAAAATTTTACTCTTAATCAGGAAAGACATTGCATTAAGAAACAAACAAGCATTAAACAAAAAAGAAGTGTATGATCTGCAATCACTTAAAGGATGCGCAGATTTTCCAGTGTGATTTTGCTTGCAAAGTGTTGTTTTTGCGGTATGCTAAGGAGCAAGCCGGCGTGCACTAGAGTGAAGGGATTCCAAAGAGCCCCGCAATAAGTGATTTTCCACTAAACATAAAAAACAAAACAAAACAAACATCCAAATGGCTCTGCGGATGGTGTGCAGTCGCTGGAGACTAATTCAACTGATTTCCAGGAACCAACTATGCATAGTCGAAGTGCACAATAAAGGAATAAGAGAAAACTACCTCCGGGCCAGCGTATGTCTAAAGTTAAGCACCACTTGCTTTATTTCGTAAAAGCACAATAACCCTGTGCTTATAGGCACTAATTTAGTCAATATATTCCCCCACATGAGGGTTCAGTGAAACTGTACCACAGAGGGCGATGTGGAATAAACACTTCAATGCAGGGCGTCCTTCCAATTCACAATCGTAACTGCCATCAACTTCTCAGTGACTTCCCCCATACGCTAAGAAACAGCACAAACTCGGTTCCCTCATTCCTTTAAGAAAAATTAGAACATTTATGCATTTTAAACAGACAGTGAATTAGAGGAGAACACACCTACATGCCTGAAAGTGTTTGTAGAATCTCAGCTGGTGGTAACTTCCTGGAGGAGATGTGAATGGGGAGAAACAGATTGTTAATTCTAGTATTTGCCTAAGATATTAAAGGTCAAGTCATTCAAAAGTGTACATCACAGCAGCACACGCATTTCAGATATATACGATGTGGGCACTTGTATCTATCGTCAGATTTCAGTTCCTAGCAGACAAAGAGGGAATGGAGTTTATTCTGCGTGTTGTGCCGTAAGTAATTTCCTCCAGATTTGCAATAAGGCTTACTATCACAATGTCCTAAACTATCATCGATTTGCCTGTATAGAGACCACTAACAGACAGGCAAACTATCTACATGTGGTGAATTTTCCTTGTTTGTTAAAGCAACATTCTGATCGACAAAATCACGATATTAAAAAGTCATCTACTTTCTCCATGGCTCTCCCCCTGCTGTGAATTCAGTCATATCCACTGACCATACAGACTAAAATAAGCATTTCCTTACTGTTTAGTTCTCTTAGCCCACCCACCTATGAGAAAGTGAGCTGGACTCCATTCTGGCTCAGGCATCACCATCAGTTCTGTTTAACTAAGTTCCAACTGCAGAACCTTTATAATTAGTGACAGAGCCAGGAAAGGCACAGCTTGAATTTCGGATCCCAGATGGAGTCACAGGGCTGGCAGCTAGAACAGCCATCTTTTTCCTTTCAAGCTGAATGAGTCTGATGTGGAGCCACAGACACACACAATGACGGAACCTCGTGATGCCATTTTACACTTTTCAGCATATCACTGTCCTTTTAAACTGATAAGGAGAAACTCACTTGATGCAACCAATTGTTAAACAATGTATTTATATCAACAATACCCCTTTCTCAGCTGCTGTAACTGACATTACAGTACATGTCCTTAAATCAGATCAGATTCCCTTGACTTTTAAACTATAGGGAAGTGAGTGGTTAAAGGAGGGAATTTATCAACTTTTACGTCAGGTTCTAGTGCACATTTTATGCCTGTCCTTTTAAAATTACACTGCAGCAAAAAGATTTGGCAGGAAGCTCCGATCAACTGCTGAGAGAGAAGAGAACGGCTAGAACTTGTAGTTCGTTAGCTTTTGGGGTCATTATTGTCTTGCTTTTGCTATTAAGAGTGCAACACAATGGTGAATACTCTTACTAGAATTGAAGTTGTAAAACATTTAATCACAGGGCTCAGATCTTTTGGGGCGGCGGGGGGGGGGGGGGGGCTAGCACAATGGACTACTCCAATCCTCATTGAGGCTACTGGGCACTACCACAGTGGAAATAGACAGTAATAAGGTCCCTACCTATATTCCAGAAGTGAATATGTAATTTGTCCTGCCATGAGCATTACATATACAATCTCTCTTTTTCTGCCCTTGCAGCACCTCTGAGGTACAGTATGTACAGTTATGTTGAAGAATGAAATCTTTAGCAATAAGACTGTCTGTGAACCTGGAGTCTGTAGAAAATGCAAAGCTGCCCTGTGGCAGCTCCAGTGCATGTGGGAGAAACATTAAGATCACAAAACACAGATTCAGAAGGAAGTCCCCACATCCACCTACTCTTCTCCAGCCCAGCAGAGCCAGCCCTAGCCACAGCACATACTGTACAGACACCACCATCTTCTCAAGTGAAAGACCTTGCAGTGTGTTTCTTGTTCAGAGCCATTTCATGTTCTCAGCATGGCTAACTGGTAATAGAATCACTGCTTTAAGAAAAGGCTAATATAAATAGTCTCCTGACTGCTGTGTATAGTTTAATAGCTGCTTTACAAGAGAAACATGAAACCTAAGAGGGCTAGCATGAAAAATCTTTTTGGAAATCTTTATGCATAAAAGAGCACAGCATCTAATCATCCACTGTCTAACAGAACGGCTTAGGTCCTTCCCACCCCCTGCCCCAGCTCTGAAGTGCCATGGCTGATTGTTAGTGACTATCAATCACTTGTTGAGATGGGGCGGAAGCATCCCAGCTGTGCCAGTCTCAGCCTGACTCCAACAACATCGGCTAACCCAACGCTACTTCTTAGCCTTTTGGGGGAAGTAGTATTAGCGGACGTGCCTTTGCAAGGGGAATGGGCTCTGCAATTTAACTCGTATTACTATGGACACTACTTCCTCTTGCTTTCTTTTCCAAACACCCTAGAAAAAGATTAATCCGAGAGCCTCTGCCCCTTCTTTATTATACAAGTAATAGGAACAGGTAGGCTTTAGCGACAAAATCCTCAGCACAGGGATGTCTTTTAGGACCACGCACAAATAACTCCCTTTCGAGATGCACAGCCAAATAAATACCTGGGACTCACCGGCTTACAAGACAATGGCCACTGTAAGAATGGTGCTAACAATCTCGCCTCCCCAATCAGTAGCTGCCAAGTGATATTACTTTCCCATTCTATGCAAGGCTCCCAACAAGTAGGATTAGAGTGCTAAAATCACAAGAGATGCTATTTTGGTTTTGGGATACTTCTGATTGGAGAGGTTTTCTAAAAGATGCGTGTTTCAGCCGTTGACATAGCCTTAAAAATTGGGCACACTCCCACCTCAGCATTTACAGACTAGTGGCAAATTGACACACCCTTATAATAGCCTTCCTGGGACTCCACGGTGGCAGGCAAAATGGTCTCTTTCATTAACAAATGCAGTATATAGAAGTTAGAGCAGGGGGCTAGGAGTCAGGCAACCCTAGGTCCCATTCCGAGCTCCACTGTTGACTCACGGTGTGACTTAACCTCTCTGTGCCACAGTCACTGCACTTATAAAACAATGATTACTAAGGTGAGTAAACTGTTAAGCTCCTAGAGATCCAAAATTGAAAGGTGCGACACAAGGGTAAAATATAGTACATGAACACAGAGAGAGACACTGAAAAAGAAAACCTGGGCATAGGGCTATTTTTTAAAATTACATTAGCCAAAGCTGCCACGAGAAAATCTGATAAAAGGGGAGAGCCCTTGTGAGATTTGCCAAATGGTTCCGACTTGTTCAATGCTTCGCTCTTGTCATTTTTCCTGTCAGCTGCCAGAGAAAATCAGGGCGTGAAGTTGACTCCATGTTGCTATTACTCCATGTACTGTACTCAAGAAACATTTTGTCACCCATTGTTGATGGATTGCTTTGTAAATGCTTTACATAGAGCATTTAGGTGAAACAGTTATACAGCCTGTGCTTAATGGTCCTTTAATACAGTAGAAAAGAACTACTGTAACACATAAAGCTACCATGGACTACACTGATACTTTCTCATTTAAAATGTATTCACAAATTCTAGTTTTCATTCAGCATCTTCCATGTAATTAAAAGAAAGAAAACCTGCCTGAAGCAAACACTCATGGCTGGACAAACATTGGTTAAGGGATGTGGAACAGAAGTGTACTCTTGCATATTTGAGGTGATCTCTTCCATTAGGAGTTTTATAAAAGGATGGTCTCCCCACCCACTCACATAACAGTCGAGTTTTTGTTTAGAGGGGTAAGTAACTAGCAAGAACAAGAAGAGCAAGCATAGGTGGAGGTTTAAAGGCAGTTTGAGTATGTGTTTGAGGCTAGAGAGTCCACTGAGAGAATCTAACATTGCAGTGGTTGAGTTGCTCCTTCTCAGGGAAGTTGATTTTAGCTACAAGGAACTACTTTTCCTCCTCCTCCTAGTTAAGCTGCCAAAGCTACAGAGAACTACGGGAAGTGCCTAGTGACAATGGGATTCCTATGTATGTACTTACTACCACACAACTGACAAATTATGGAATAAGTCCCATTCCTCAATCCACAGCTACTACACGACAGGTCTTTTGTGGAGGAATGGCGATAAGTGATGCTAGCTAAGCCCGGGCCCCTCCTTAGTCCCCGTATACCATACTGAGACAACAAATAAGGCAATATGAAGTCCTACTCCTGAGGCACAGAGAGCTGCTCTGCCAGCTGCTCCACATTTGTTTGTTAAGCTTTTTAAAGTCCCTGAAGTAGTTTGTATGAGATACGTGTCACTTTAAATTTCTATAAATACCTAGATGGAAATGATAAATGTATTCAGTTCAATAAATGATCTTCATTTTTCACTTGTCGATTTTACACTGTGGTGTTGTTCTGCCCCAGGGACTAGGTTAGAACTACACCATGCAAAGCAATAAGCAAATCTGCTATTTACACGGAGATAACTGATGAGCCAAGAGCAGGTAAGGAGGCCGTTGTTAATCATTCACTTCGCCTCATCCTACAAGGAAGGGAGGTGCCAGTCCAGCAGCCCTTTGTTCCGGCACTTGCTAGATAGGGTGGTCATGAAAGCTTCAGCTTTCTTCACTGCAGTGACCCAGGCTATCTTGGTTAACATGCCCTTTAAAAAAAATAAAAAGCCTCCTTGAAGAATTTGTTTATCGTAAGGGGACACGAGACCAGAACACACCCACTTAACTGTTGATGGGGTCCAAGAAAGGCCGCGGGCAGAAGAGCTGGTATGGACTCACCAGAAAATAGGTAAGTGACTAAGGAAGCATTCACATCAAGGCTGCTATCCAATATATGGCAGAAGCTACAAGTTCTCTCCTTGCTGTTGGTTCCGATCTCTCTACTGTCTTCACTTCAGAGCATCAGACCAGCTCTCCAACTAGAGCACGTTGGCTCATTTAGTTACAGTTGCTGTTATTCCTAAAACATGGGTAGGAAACTACATTGCAAGAAAGGGCAGGGGACAGGAAAGGGTCTGCTCACACACTCACACACACACACACTAGCATCAAAAACAAGAGACATTTAGAAAGTGCAAATTATTTATAAACACTATCAACAAAGTGCAAATCTACATGTAACGTTTTACAAAGAAAAGCTATAACTGAAGATGACAAACAAGGGAGGCACGTAAATTTGAGGAATGGGGAAAAATAGGCTGTTCTCCAATTGCCTCTTAATTTATGCCAACTTGATGTGTCAACCCAGAACACTGCCTTTGTCAACCTTCATAAAAAGGACACCGACCACACAGCTGATTCCAGCATGAATGGTGTCCAAAGGGAACCTAGCAGTTGCTCTAAAAAAACTTAAAAGCTTTGTTCTGAGCTCAGGCTCTGGCAAAAAGATTTCCATTCTAAATTGCATCATCCAGCTCCCATAACTGAACAGTATATCCATTAGATTTCTTGTTAGGCGTGACTTCCTTTTGCAGAGTGGGGATACCTTTGCTTGTCAGCTGCTCTCTGGAAAGCTTGCTTTTGTTTCAAAGGAAAATACTGATAAGAAATGCTACAAAGAGTTACCTGTACCGAACAGATCACATATTTAACCTGTATTTAAAAGGAGGTTCTGAAGGTCTCCAAAATAAAGACACGCAAAATCCTCAAACTGGCCTTATTAAAAAACAGAACAATCCATAGATCAAACAATCAAGAGACAAACAGCTAAGCTACAGGACAATTAAAAACTAACTTTAAATGGAGAAAAAACAGAGCACACTCCCTCAGTAACGAGTAGCTCAGACATTGGAGGATGCTGTGACAGAGCTACGCTGGAAGTGGTCAGGAATGTCCCGGAAGCGACGGTGGTGGGCCAAGTTCCGGCTCACCCATTGCTTAAGGCTGCACTTTTGGGTGGGTTTCTTGGAGAACCTTGGGTATTTTCTGCAAGAACAGAAGGGGAATAAAGGTAACAGAATAATTAAGGCAAATATGGTGCGTAGGAGCATGCATACAAGAGCAGCAGGAACAGTGGCTATTTTGCAAACGCCTTCCCTTGTCCCATGGCACTTGCAGTCTGCAGACACTTTTCTATTGCCAAAATTTTTAAAAGAAAATTATCTTGCCACGCTGCCATGGTAAGTACAGTAGTAGAGTACAAGAAGAGTCCTTCTAGGAGCATTATCTAGTGCTTTCTGTTACCCTCCTTGCCGAGATCGGTCTCTCCATGGCCTGCCAGAGAAGTCTGAAGGTTGCTCAGTTCATGACAGTTAAATGAGAAGTAAATTCCCACAGAAGGAGCTGTTGTCACGCAAATATTGCCATTTCTTGGCTCTAGCACATTCTGAAAAAACTGCTGGCTTTGTTCAAACAAAAACCCTCAAAAATACTTCCTACAATGGCTTAAAATAAAACAAATCAAAAAAATTCCCACAACCCAATTCCATTTTCGTTAACTTGTTTGCAACACACTTTCAGATACAGGAAAACAAAGCTTTTCCATATTAGCTGTCAGATGCTGCCTTCCCCCTTCTGCACATAGCAGAGTTGGCTTCTCTTGAGTCTTTTCATTTGGTCTGGGCAGATATATCAACATAGCTAGGAAATAATATTTATTAACTGCAGAGCCATCTGGGGAACCATGAGACACTGGGTGGGGGTCACGCTTACAAAAAAATTAACTATCAATATAGTTATTTAGGAGAAGGAGCATCTGTCTGCCTCCGGAAATTCACACCAACAGCTTTTCAGTTCTACAACAGTGGTTCAACACAAGTTATCGTGATTAAACAGGCCTAAAACAGCAACGTGGCCTGGCAGTTTCAGTCCTCAAAGACTGGTGTCCATATTACAGGTCACCATCACAACTCGCTCCTGTGTTAGGAGCCTCTCTGAAGAGTTGGAGATTTGGGGGGGGGGCGGGGGGGGGGGGAAGAGAACTCCTCTAGGGAGGACAAAATTCAAAGTAAGTGTTACACTGGCAAGATAACACAGAAACAGTGTTACCAGACACTTGTGCTGTCACCTTGATTTGGCTTGAAGCTTTGTTTCCAACAGTGTCAGTCAGGCACTTCTGGTGAGCATTACATTCTGAATAGATATTTAGAATCCAGGAGACCTTCCTTCTCAAGTTATAACAATTTCAAACAAAGGTCAGTGTTCAGGCCTTACCTACTTCATATTCTTACAGTGAATTAAAAAAAAAAGACAAAACAAAACACCTCCAACAGAAATAAGGTCCTGAACAAGTTACTTTGTATAGTCGGTTTCATTTTCCATTGTAAAAGGGACTTTCCTCTGCTCCCTTCCCTCCTTACAAACATTTGATACCATACCTCATGGTGAGGTCTGATGGATGTTGCCATCTGCGGTCCTGGGTTCGGTACTCCCTGCTGGCAACCTTATTCATCAGAGCGTACAACTCATTTAATGCATCTGCAATTCAGCAAAGTAAGTAGTTAATGGGAGATCAAGCATGCTACATGAGGCTGGAAAAAAGACAGCAGCAGCATGGGAACTCTGGCCTCAGCTCTTAATGTTGCTCCTGGTCCTCAAGACAGATCTTACACCAAGGGACAAACAGAGTCTACCAGAAAGACAAGAGGTCTACACATGTCCATTTTCAGGGACACTTATGCAACATTTCCCTGGAAGCAGACACCTGCTACTGACATGAGTAGGATATTACTTGCTATGATGCTTTCCAAGTAGCAGACTCAGCTCCTCACTGCAGTGACGGCCCACTGCAAGGATCCATTTGCCCATGTCTATAATCAGAGTGTAGCAAGAGACATCCTTGTCCACAATCACTTACATCTGAAAAGAATGTAACATTATCATACAGCAGTGTTACCTACTGCACAGAACAAGCCCTTTCAGTAGATACAGTAGTTCTCCAAAGGCCTCACACCATGAATCCTTGGCAAGAGAATGCAACGGATGGTTTGGCAAGATACATGAGTCTTTGTGTCCAGGTCACAAAATAGCTCAGATCATATCTGCAATGCTTATACTCTTGCCCACTCCTCACTTCAGTATCTGGTAATGCAGGCTGAGACTCCATACTGCACACTACTTGTGATGCACACTACAGCAGAAGTCCATTGTTACGATGTTGCTACCAACAGAAAACAGTGCCCCTCCTCAACCAACATGAATGCAGGTATTCTTCCATCTTGCTACTGAAGTCATGTTGCTAACACTAGGAGTGGTTCTACGTGAGACACTTCTTCATTCCACAGGAAGTGACTGCCTACTGAGTGCATCTATGTAGACTGGCCGCACCTCTCCTTCACCCACTGGAGCATCAGTTTCTGTCTGAAGTGACCAGTTCAGAATCTGACAAGAGGCCATTCAGTTTTACAGCACACTTCCTAAAGATGACTATTTGAAAGTCCACGGTCTGTGTTCAGCCATTACTGTTTAGGGAGAAACGCAAAGCATCAAGAGGGCTAACAACATGCAGATACCCACCACGAACATGTTGCAGAACTGTTCAGTCCAGACGGCAACTCATCCTTTCAATCCATTTAGATTAGAAGTCACTGGAAGAGTTGTGGTTTCTTCCAGTTTATCTATCTTTAGCAACTTCCCACAAGTTCTTACTTTTTCTACACCAGGGCACCTGACAATTTCAGTCATGCCAGCTTTATGCCATCCCCCAACCCCAAACCTTGTGCCAGTAGGGCTGATGTAACTTAGATCTGTTTTCTCTTCTCAACTGCTGGGGACAGAGCGCAGAGGCACTCTGGCCAGATCTCCCTACCCGTCGAAAGCCCTAGTACATTGGGGCAGTAACAGAAGACTGGTGTAGAGCTGTTAAGTCTTCTGCACACCAGCCACAGATTAGGGGAATGCAATAGTCTGTTCAGCTGGCTTCCCATCTGCTTTACCCCAGCGTGATGTAAAGCCAGAAGAAAAGGTCAGAATCAGGACCGCAGTTTTATTTATAAGACAGAACTTGGTGATTGATCTTTTCCATAAGGTTCTTCCGTTCATCCCTCACTCCCTCAGGGCCAGTGCAGGGTTTTTCCCTACAGCAGAGCATCTCAAAAGTGTCATAGCGTGGAGCACATTTTAAGATGTTTTATGGACATTTCTCCCACCCATTTACAAAAACATAAGCTACTTCCCTTTCCATTGGCAACCACAGCAATTGTTTCCCTAGAAGAGTAACATTAAGATTTGTAGCTGCTTTTAGCCGCTGAAAATGAGAGCCAACACCATGTAACTTGCCAATTCTCCAGACTACCAATGGTTCTTAGATCACAGTGGAGAACCAATGCTGTACAGTAGAAATAATCCCTTGCACCTCTTTAGCAGCATCTGGTCTCCTTGGAATTTTTGGACTCTTCAAATACTTGGCGCTTCTAGCACTATTTAATCCAATGATCTCAACAATAAAAATTGTTATCACTATCTACAGACGGAGAAAGGGGAAGGGAGGCACAGAGATGGAAGTGACTTGCCATGGTCAGTCTGCATGAGAGTCAAGAATAAAACTTGGATCTCAACTCCCAGGTCTGTTCCCTGACCACAGAGTTATTTTCCTTCGCCGACAGATATATTCCCATCCCCATCCCCCCAGAATAGCAAGACAGGGAGAAGCTATACATTTACTTTCAGATGTTTGTAAGAGCTGAGCTCTCATTTAGATACCAAGAATCTCCAACTGTTCTCAATGGGAGCTTCTGGATGTTGAGCTCTTTTGAAAGTCTGGTCACTAGTCTTAAACTTCCCTTTAAAAAATATATATATATATATCCCGCCCCCTTATTTGTTGCATTTGGCTTCCCACTAGAGAAGCCTCTGCTTTCACACTGGCATTGGCTTGGGGGAGGGGAGAGGAGGGATGGAGGTGATGCTACCATTCAACAGCTGACTCCCAGAAGCTTCCTCTACCCCAAACACCATCTAAGTCTCATTGTGAGCAGGCACTTTTCCCAACCTGCTGTACAAACAGATCCCATACAAGTCCAAACTCATCCCCCTTCCCAGGATCTGAATTTATTATGGGTTTGGGTGGGGTTTTGTTGTTTGAAAGAACCAGTTCAAGCCTTCTTCCCAGATGTGGTTGTGATTAGGATTCCTCCTTCAGGAAAGCTCAGCCCACACCATAGATGCTCTCCCTAGAAGGCCACTCCCCCATACTTTATATCCAAGAGCATCAGGGAAATCAGAAGAACCCACTTAACCTCTGCCCTTAGGTCCCTTGGATTACTTAATCCTCCTTGTCTGCAACACTGTATTTAATAAAGATAGTTAACCTTCATAAATTAAAGGTATTAAATAAAATCAGGTCTTCACAGTTCCCTATGGCACTTCACAAGTTGCCTCCTCTCTCTCTGCCCCAGAGGATCCAGCTTCATCACGTCTTTGCCAGGCTGCCAATGGCATGATCGAGTTGGGAGGCATTACAATGCAAATTATGCATTTCTAGAGAGGAGATAAACAGATCACCTCCAAGTGGAGGCAGCCCTGTATATCTAACATGCTGTGTCAATCTGCCCTTGGACAGAACTCCTGGTACAGTTTTATTAGCAGAGGAGCTCTTAAGGAAAGAAGCTATTAGATACCAAATTGGAAGAGCTAGTATTGCTTTCCAGGTACCAAACAGCTCACAAGTCTGAAGAGAGTCCACATGATGCCATGAAAGTTGTCTGCGCTGCAGGTGGTGCAAGCTCTATTCAATATGCACAGTTATGATGTCAATATCCTGCAAAGGCACATTTAGTGAACAATGTTGCAAAAAGCAAGAGAAGGATATATAGAGGGAGAGGAAAAAACTCCCCACTAAATTTGTTCTTCACCTGACCCTTAAAAAAAAAAAAAATAGGGGTTCTCAGCTATTCTGTATTCTCTCTCTTCTAGACCAAGACGAAGTAACAATACTGGGTGAACGTTCAATGCCAAGAGCCACAATAACAGTCACTTCCGGTTATGAAAATAGGGAGCCTCATCACTAGTGACAAATGATTCTGGACCAAACAGAATCCACGAGGCTCTCATCAAGAAGGATTTGATTCTATTTATGGTTGAATGAAGAGCAATATGAAGTTTGAATACTAAGCTAGCGGTCAGCTGGCAAATTTCTTTGTGGTCAATTATGGACCGTTTCAACCAGTCATTTGGAAACAGATGTTCAAATCACATCGCAATTTTACATCCGCTAGAACACAGCCTCTGCAGCATTTAGATTCATGTGGGAAGCTGGAAACAAATCTATTTCATCGGAAATATTCTATTCCCTACTTCTTGGAGGATATGCATACACCCAAAGCCACAGGTTTATTCTGCCCTGGGTCAGTTCACTTTGCCAGACAGGGGAAAGTTCGCTCAGAAAATGGACTCCTTCCAAACTATCCAATATCCATAAAGACTGAATGGTTGGCAGTTAGTGCAGCTGTTACCTTTAAGTGGTTTAGCCCACAAAAGCCACCAACATGAGCATAGAAAAGTTGTATTTGTATAATATTGTGCTAGGTGCTATACAGACAGGTAAAAAGACAAGGTCCCTGCCCCAAACTAGCTTACAATCAAAACAGGCAACATACGAATGATACGGGATATGCTACCACAGAGAAGTGTGGGGGAGATTATGCAGAAGAGTGTGAAAATGAAGTTAAATGCTATGCTACCCAAGTCAAGTGACAGCCTACAATACAAAAAAAAGGCTAACCAAAGTGGTGGCATAACGAGGTATTACTTTCAGTCACCTGTTTTGTTACCCCTTCCCAGCAAGGGGCAGTGGACAGGCACAGAGCTGGTGGGCTTTCTGGCCTAGATTCCTGGAAGAATTACTCACAGCTATAATACGTGTGCTGGTGGCTCCTTGACAGGGTTGGATTATAAATTCTCACGGGGATAATAGGTGCATGGAGAAAGGCACCACTCAGAATTAAACCCAATCAACTGAGAAGCTTTTTATGTGACCCAACTGGAAAAAACCCTCCTACCTGTCACGCTACATTCCAAGCCTAAAGTTATTGGGAACAATAGACATTTCCACTAAGAAGCAAAAAGATCACACATAACGTTCTTCCTCAGTGAAACGGATCTTCCATTTCACCCGCCAGCCTCGTTCACCAGGCCCCTGCCTGATTTGCTCCAACTCAGAACATATGCCTCGCATTTTTAATTTGAAAGGAGGAGAAAACGGGTCGTAATTAGCTTTCCTCGCATAGTCCCCTCTGCATTACTTATGCTATATTCATAGACTGGAAAGCAGCCCCGTGGCTATGCAGCTGTTTGCACTGCCCAGAGAAGCGGCGTCTCCATGTGAGCAGCGGCACAACTGTCAGTTTCTTGAAACTCTCAAGAAAGGACAGTTACCAAACCCGTGAAAAGCCTGACAAATGAACACAGTTGGAGGCCATCTTTGTAAGCCGCTAGGGCCATCTTTAACCTCCGAGTTTCTCAGTTCCACCCACAATTCCTTCAGGTGTGGCTCTTCATCTAATATTATGTTTGCTCTTTATGTGGAGATTCTCCTTGAACCTCTGTCAGCAAGAGCTTTTGTAGGATTGATCTGAGAGGGGCACAGCCTAAGAGGCCTGGAAGGTATTAGCAGGAATTTCAAGTCTTACTACTTGACACGGAAGTTAAAGGTTTCACAATTTTAAGTTCTATGCTGCCGGCTGGAAAGAATGGCCTCCCATCCTAAGCACCACCAGAGACAAGAGCCCAGGTCTACCTCTCTCATTTTGCATTTTATGGCCAATTTATAAGTGCAATGCCCTCACTGCCCAAAGTGCCAATTTTTGACAGTGTACCTGCATTTACCACACAACTTTCAGCATGTGCCTCAAACTCCTTGTCTATCCCAGCTATTACAGGCAGAGAAACTGCTTCTGAGGTAGTCCCAAAGCAGGGGTGGTTACATATTGGACCCTAAATTCCCTCTAAGCTGCGCGGCCATGCAGTGGCCTATTAAGCACCGTGCAGGAGCTCAGGGGAAGAGATGCCTCTCCCCCAGCCCCAACCTGGATCTGCCACAGCTGGGGGAGAGGCGCCAGGGCTTGAGGCCCCAGCCTCGGATCTGCCACGGCGAGGAGGGGCGCCTCTCCCCCCAGCCCAAGTGCTGCTGTGGGGAGAGAGGGCTGGGAGGAGTCTCTCTCCCTACCGTAGCCCCAGGGCAGCCTGCACCCCAAACCCCTCATCCCCGGCCCCACCCCTGAGCCTGCACCCCCAGCTGGACCCCTCCCACACACCCCGCACCCCAACCCTCTGCCCCAGCACTGAGCCCCTCCCACACTCCAAACCCCACAGCCCCACCCCCGCCACATGAATTTTGTTATGTGCACCAATATGGAGATGATGTGTCACACATCACCTCCATATCAGTGCACATAAAATTCTGCACATCCGTGGGAAAAATTAGAGGGAACACTGATTGGACCCCATAGTCTCCATAAGTGGAGCAGGCGACATTCTTATTGCTGCCTAAAAAATTATAATATCTGAAACAACTTTGCTGAATGCAAACTAACAAAATTTGGCCCTTTTGATTTGGTCTGTGCCTTCCCCTCTTCCCAACACCCCATCCCAATCCTTCCTGTAGGTTACCTGGTGTAGGATCCGTGGAATTCTTTACATGGGCACGCACACATTGGATATAAATATGCTTCTTTTGCTCAAGTTCTGCTTCAGAAATGCATATCCGTTGTTTTGGTCTTTAAAAAAAGAAAAAGAAAGTTAATTTTTCTGAAGCACCTGTCAAGCAAGGCTCCATGTAACAAACAGCACCATGATTCCCTGTGTGGTGAATACAGACAGAAGTTCCTTATAGCACTATTCTTTTGGACACACTAGTTGTAAGAAGGAGATCTGGCAAGCCACTCCTAGGAGCAGGATAGCTGACGAGTCTGCTCTCAGCCTGTGGGAGGAGGGGATGCTTGTCCCTGAGCAGTGAAAATATGGAAAGTTGAGGAATGACAATGGCAGGAATCACCACAAAGTCTGATTGGAGTGAGACTCAGAGCTGAAGCAGGTGGAGGGAAGGGAGTAGCAAATCTAGGAGTAAGAGAAGATCATGTCAGCATCTTTCCCCATCTCACAGACTGCCTGCTTTAAAGAGACAAGGTGGGTGAGGTAATATCTTTTTATTGGACCAACTCTGCTAAATAAAAAAATATTCTCTCGCCCACCTTGTCTCTAATATCCTGGGACCGACAGGGCTACAACAGCACTGCATGCTGCCCGCTTTGACAATTAACATGCTTCCCTATCTTTGGTCGGCTGTATTGTTGCTGCCATCTGCTGGAAACCACAGGGATAAAGGGGAACAGTGACCACACCAGGGGTTCTCACACATTCATAATATGAACTACATCCTAATAGTGTCTCAGACATGCCCTCACAGACTCAGGACAGCTTGGATCACCTCCCCTCCCATTCACAAGTAACCCTTGTGACAACTACAGCAATCGCTTACATGGAAAATGTTACCTAACAGGGCATTACATAAATTTACTTGCAATTTAGCAAGTGGAAATGAGACGTGTATTACCACGTGAGCAGCCAGCTCTCTAGATCCCCAGCAAGTGCTTCACAGTCCGGTGTGAGCACTGCTGAGCTAAAGTATGCAGAACATGTTACCTTTCTTCCACCTGTGGCACGGGAATGACTTTGCCTAGCTTCTTCCCACAGGTACGGTCTTCCCCACAGTTCTGGTCTAACACTACAGAGTTTAACTGGAGAGGAGGAGGAGAAAGAGGATTAGCCTGACAAAAAGACACTCCTGTGTCCATTAAGATGCATTATTTTCCTCTAGAAAAGCTTACTTACTGTGCAAGGCTGCAAACCCATGTATGCACCCTGATAGCGCTACCGACAACTGAATTATAATGTTTAAATAAAAACATGTCTGACCCATCCACCCTACTGTCCATTTGGTCTGCTTCACACGCTTATGGCTTTGTTGAAAGATAAACATTTCACTTTTAAACAAAATACTTTTAAAAATACTTAGCCAAGGCTGCTTTATAAGAGTAAAGAGACAGAGGTGTGTGTTGTTACTTTAAGATTGTCTGACGATTCTTCAACAGATGTGGATTGCTGGCTCAAATCTTCCTTTTGGGAGCCAAAGGTCCCTGATAATCCATTGTCTGTTCCTCTGGAAGGGTCCTGATTTAAGACGACATTAGAGGTTTCCGAATGCAGTAGCAGTACAGGTGCTGGATTCTCCACTTTGTCCTTACTTTGACCACAGGCAGGGTCAGGACAGTATGTAGAAGTTTTAATGTGTGCATCAGAGAAGGGAGATGACTCTTTGATTTCTGATGGCAGCTTTTCCACACTATCCAGGCCCCCACTGTGGTGCTCTTTAGAAGCCAGGCACTCAAGGGACTCTTCAACAACCAAGCTATTAGAACTGATTTCATCATACTCTATACTTTGTTTGCTTGCATTTTGTAGATGGTCATCTCTTATTACTTGTGAAGCTTTCTCACCAGTTTCCTCCAAGCCATCATCCCCCTTTGGCGGATCTATTGAATCTGCATCAGTTGGGGAAAGATTTAGAGGCCCCTGAAGATCACAGTCAAGTGTACAAGTGACTTGATTTGATTTCAAGCAGTCCACATTCAAGCATTCTTCACCCTCAGAATTAGCTGTTTCATCCTCAAGAATTTGAAAATATCCAGGATTAACTGAAGAGCCAGTCTGAGATAGAGACTCGTTACTTACTAACTCATCTATGGTCCTGAATGATGTCTCTGTGCCTTCCGGGGGGACTGATGCCAAATTACAGTTGCTACTCACTTCCTTCTCACTTTGTCCCCATACCTCTTGATTCACTAAAGCACTCTCTCCAGTGGAGTTCTGGTCATCTCCTAAGCAATCATCTGCTAACATTTCCCTACACTCTTCCTCAGTGTAATTGAAGGGAGAGTTCCCTTGTTCATCATCTGAGGGTTCCAGCAAAGAGTCATCGGGCTCACTATCATCAAAACATCGGGCTGTATTCACAGAAAGGGCTACCACACTGTCTTCTGGAAGACTAACTCGGATGACAATGTTCTCCAGCTCAGTATCATCCAGACAACCAGAGGAGCCCAGGAAGCAGGCAGAGTCTGGGGAGCACAGTGATAGTTTCTTGGATGGACATGGAGTGCTACAATAATGACTCAAGTGGCGCCGTTTCTTAGCATCTGATTGCAGGGGCTCATCCTCCTCTAGCAAGTCTAAGGGCCTTTTAGTCCTGGGGATTGTATCGTTAACAAGAGTCACTTTATGATTATGATATACACCAAGCCCAAAGGAATGCGGAGAGCTGTCTTCCATGAGGCCGTTGGTCTCTATATTAAGTGACCTCGCTGCTTCTGCTTGGTCACTAGAAGCCAGGGCAGAACAGGTACCAGTGTTTGCTGAGCCTCTAATCAGCCTATAACATGCTTCACTCTTCCAGAAAGTCAGTCAGTCACAGGATGGATCCCACTTGCCTGCAAAGAGAAAACAACATAAGTGAACTAAAAGAATGTCTCTCAGCAACTTCCTTCTCAGTCCCCTCTGTCCTTCTCTGGAAAGAGAGATGTACACCTCTCCTCCCTGGGCAAGTGAGGTGCTGGATTTTCACTTGGTCCAAGATAGCTTACACTTGTCCTGTGACTGATCCACTTTAGAAATACTAGTCACTTTGAAATCTAGGGCATTCTGCTGCCTCACCTTTAAAGAAAAGTGTCGTACATATTTTGCCTCTGTTGTTTCTCTTAAATTTAGTCCTTCCTGACGCAGCAGCAAGGGAAGAGCCTATCAGCATCCACCCTTGGAGCAAGTGGCCCAATGTCTGAAGATACCTGGCTTCCATGGCCTTCACTCCTGGCTATTCTGACTTAAATAAACGTTATTAAAGGTTCTAACAGAGTGAGTCTGCTCAAGCTACTCAAACGTCAGCTAGAGAATTAGAACCAGTAAGCCAGACATGCTAATGAGCAATCCCCCACATCGAGAGGGCTCACAAGTCAGAGGTCTAATTTCTACAGCTATATTAGCCAGCACTAATAGAGTCTAAATCATGAACACAGTGACCACTGCATGCTGTTTTCTTTGAAGCTGTTGACATGAATCAGTATAAGACACCCCTCAAAAGACTGCATAAAGAAATATTGTATGTTTTCATAGCTTCTTTCATTCAAGGATCATAGAGCAGTTTGCATATTGAATGAAGCCTCAAACCTTTCCTCCCTCTCCAGTGAGATAGCATTATACCATTTTTAAATAAGAAAACAGACAAACAAAAAGGTTAAATATAATATTATAATGTTACCTGATCCTATTAATAGGTAATAATACTTGTTCAGTTGATCAGAAGTACTAAGGTTCTTGTCCCAGAATCAGGCTACACGGAACTAAAACCAATGAGTTCAATTTCTTGTCAGGAATCTCAAGGGGTATAGCCAAGACACTCACACGGAGGTCAAAGCAAAGCAGTGATTTTTATTAGGATCAGTAATAAAGCCAGAAAAGCTCTGAGCCACGTAATCAAACAGGAATAATCCAGTATGGGGGATATCTGCGATATCATTCTTGATTCGCATACTTACGCCCTTCCTTAAGACCTGGTGGTGAAAGACAAAGGACCAGCCCTGCCTCTGGCATGCCAAATGAGTCTGATGGTCCAGGTTTCTCAGTGCCCAAGATGGATGGTAGACAATGTTGCCTGATTTAAGGAAGTAATACTCTTATTTTAGATAATATGGGTTATAGGCTCACCAATTAATCTGATCAGAAGACAATAAGGTTCTTGTCCCAGAGTCAGGCTACACAGAGTTTGCAAGGACACTTGGGATGTACGACAAGGACGCTCACACTGAGACAAATGTAGCTTTAAAGATTTTTATTGCGATAAATGGAATAGTAATCAAACAGTAATCAAATGGTAAAATAATCAGAGTTACAAAGGCAATGACATTGTTCTAGAGATACATGAGATATTATACACTATAAAGCTTTTGATTATTTTACTCACACCCTTCCTTGATAACCTGGTATGAGACAAAGGACCAGCCTTGCCTCTGGTATGCTCTTTACATTACAGATTATTTAAATAAATACCTGCACCAATTTCCTTCCCATGCTATCAGTATAGATAGCATTTTAACAAAACATTCCAAAGTCTCAAAAACACCCATTAAAAATGGCTGCTAAAATCAGTTATAACCACAACATAACCCTAGGTCATGTCCTTGCTACTTTCCATTTTCCCCATCTTACTATCTCCAACTTATCTCTAACTTTTACTCACACTAACAAGCTCTATTTTTCATACTCCTCCATATTTAGCCTAATTTCTACTTATTTTTTAACCTAGCACATTTTATAGACTACATCTTCTCCCTTTTTAGTTTTCCTTTCACCTGAACAGCACCTACTTCGTCATCACTCATTTTTGTTGAGCCTTTCCTCTGACTTCTTCCCATGAAATACCTGGTTTTCCACCTCTCCTTCTGCCAGCTTTATTCTCATTTCTAAAGGCAGCCTCAAGGTATACATATCACATTCATGTTTATTTCCTGTTTCTAGAGTCCACCCAAGGGAACACCTCTCTCTTACATTACCGAATCCATTTCTTACGCAGAAATTCACAAAAAAGGACACCTCCCCCCACGCACACAACCAGTTTCCACTCACTTCCAGTGCTGGGATAACTAGGCAATTGTTGGCTTGTACATCTCCCACCCCAGCTCCCTCTTCACCCCTTTAAAGGGAAATCTGTATCGCCTACACTAATATCAGGGGATGGGGAAATTCCTCTGCTACTCCATTTTGGGGGCTCTCTCATTAGGCAGGGAATTCAGAAGAATGTTCAGCTCTCTACCCCCCTTCCTCTCTAAGTGTATGTGGCAGTTGGTGCCAGAGGCCGAACCACACTTGATGGATAACACCCCACTGGAGGAGGGCACCAGTGGGTTGATCACCTACCTACTTAGGTGGGCAGTGCTTCCCATCCTCACAGGCAATCTCTGCTGTGAGGGGCAACTCCCCACTTACAAGGTAGAGGGAGAGGAGTCTTCCTTCAAGCCAGACCCTAAAGAAATGGGCATTTGGGGGCAATCAGGAAGGGAGAGGGAGTACCAGGAGGCAGTACCGCCCCAGTCAGAGCCCTTTAGAGGTGGGATCTGACTGGGGAGTGGGCAGGGCATCTTGTAGCCTTATTAATGGACTGGTGGTTAATCAATTTATATTAATCAATCACTTAGACCACAATGGTCAATGAAGGTTTGGTCTCCTGAGGGCTACAGCATCAGGAATATTATCATGAGTATCATTAGAATAAATGATGCTAGAAGCACATAAGAAACAACTGCAATTTATTACAAGTCCCTTCATTAACAAGTCCACTAAGCAAATGAACAATCCCACAAACACTAAAATACAACAGGCAGAGAAAAAGTGTGAAGTGTTTAGCCCTATGACTAGCAACTACTACCACCACCACCAGTGGTTGCCATCCTAGCGTCTCGCCTCTTCTTTGGCTCACCTTTTATGCTTACACACACGAAGGCTCATACATATGCATAAGGGTTCCAACCCCTTTTTCCTCATCCATACTTCCACATCCCACTAATTTAGGGGCACCTCATTTCTCATTGGCTATCCCTTAGTTCCCCTTACTCTCATTATGCATCTCTGTAAACTAGTTCCCATGGTAACCTGCAGAATTTCTCATGATGTTACAATTGGGTGCCTCACGGTCTAGACAAGTACACTGTGGTATATTTTCCCTATCACCCCCCACTGGCACATTCTTTACAGTAACCTTGTAATTTCACTGGTACAGGGTTATTCCTGGGTCACCTACTTACGCCAACCCTCCTAAGGCCTGAGGACTAATATGGCTAAGAAAATGTGACAGGCCTCAACTTGTAGGCCCCGTGACCCAACATTAATTAATATTTATATTTCAGACTATAACTTAAATATACTTAATATGTATTATTCTTGGCTGCACCCTCCCACCCAAAGTTCACCTCAGTAGGGGACAAGGGGTCAGGACCCCCTTTCTCCCCCATTACAGCCCATCTGGAGGGGGCAGTTGTGATCGGGAACCCTCATCACATCCAACCTGGGAGGGCCAGCTGGGGTCAGGGCCCCCCGGTCACAGCCCACTCCTGCAGGAAGCCAGAGGGCCCAGCACCCCAACTCTGCAGTCAGACGTGACTCTCAGCCAGCCGATAACACAGAAGGTTTATTAGTCGACAGAAACACAGTGTAGAACAGAACTTGTTAGCACAGAAATCAGTGACATTCAGCCAAGTCCATCTTGGGGGGAGGGGAGCCCAGAGCCAGGGCTCTGGCCCTCCCCCTGTGCCTCAAGCCAGCCCAGAGGAACTCGCTTCCAGCTGCCTGGCCCCTCTCTCTGCACAGCTCTACAATGTCCTTAAGGAGTCAAGTATCAGAGGGGTAGCCATGTTTGTTGCTTTTTACAGATCCAGACTAAGAGTCCTGTGGCACCTTATAGACTAACAGATGTATTGGAACATAAGCTTTCGTGGGTGAATGCCCACTCGTCAGACGCATGTAATGGAAATTTCCAGAGGCAGGTATAAATATATAAATAAATATGCAGGCAAGAGTCAGTCTGCAGAGAACGAGGTTAGTTCAATCAGGGAGGGTGAGGCCCTCTTCTAGCAGTTGAGGTGTGAACACCAAAGTTCACACCTCAACTGCTAGAAGAGGGCCTCACCCTCCCTGATTGAGCTCACCTCCAGACTGACTCTTGTCTGCATATTTATACCTGCCTCTGGAAATTTCCATTACATGCGTCTGATGAAGCGGGTATTCACCCACGAAAGCTTATGCTCCAATAAATCTGTTAGTCTATAAGGTGCCACCAGACTCTTTGTTGCTTCTTCAGGAGATGGCCATACACCATCTCCACGCTGTTCCCAAGTGGTCCCGGACTCACAGGCCTGTGCTCTCTCAGCTCCCCACAGTCCCTGGGAGGAACCCCTTCAGTGCGACAGCCCTTCTTGGGGGGTCCACTCTCTTTCGGGGTTAAGCCATAGGCTCCTCCACCTCCTGGAACCAGTCACAGCCCACCAAGGGAGGGGGGGCGGGCAGGGGAAGGTAGGCAGTTGGGGTCAGGACCCTGCCCAGTCACAGCCCACGTGGGGGGGGGGGGGAATTGGGGTCAGGACCCTGCCCAGTCACAGCCCACCGGGGGGGGGGAATTGGGGTCAGGACCCTGCCCAGTCACAGCCCACTGGGGGGGGGGG